AAACACATCTTTGTGGAATGCCGCCTCGTCTAAAAGGATGTCCATTTCAGTTGGATTAAAGCTGGGGACTCTCCTCTTTCTTTCTTTTTTCTTCGCCATAGCTATTGATTAAATGTTTCGCGTGTTGCGCTTTTATTGAGTAGGTCATCCAATCACAGATTTTTTTTTTTAATTTACACCAATAATGTGATGCAGCTGCTGGGCAATCAACCCTGGTTGTGGAGTAAATAAAGAATTATAGTAAATATATTATGATAATATACAGTAAGTGACCCTATAATGCAATGGAAGCATACGGACTTACTGTAGGGGGTTAGACGCATGACACGTTTGAGCACGAGGTTGTCCAAAATTATATAAAATATCCAGGGTTTAATTTAGTTTGCAATTTGTAAATGTTTATTTTTTATAATATCCCATGAGCCCAAATAAATGCAATTTCCACTATTTCTGAAGTGCTTCTTTTAAAAAGAACACCTCACATAACGCAGTGAAGCAGCCCCTGCACGAGAGAATAATTGATTCTCGAGCCATCGATATCAACAAATTCAGAACCATCGAAGCAGAAAGCACCGGGTAACGTCACACGTAGGAAAGTATATCTTAAGGGGCTTCCTAAGGCATGGTTCGAGGAACACACCTAGAAATGGTATAACTTCAGTTAAGTTATACCTTAAGAGTCTTCGTAGGGTGCTAAGAGACAACGTTATCGGGAAACTCAACCCTGATTTCTTATAGGGGTCTATAGGAGGGTAAATGTATGTTTTTTTTTTTCAGATCTTTTAAGCAAATGGTTAAAATAAGCTCGCGCAGTTTACATAAGAACACACCTAGAGATAGCAGAAAAACCAACCCGATCTCACAGGAATTCTTACGAATTTTACGAGGTGGCTAATTCGTAAAAATTCATACGACCTCACTCGTACGATTTTGCTAAATCATACATATTTTACGAATTGGCCAATTCGTATGAATTCGTACGAATGACCTACCCCTGACCCCGCCCCTAAACTTAACCATCACATGGTTTTAGACAAATCGAAAGAATTCGTATGAGTGAGGTCGTATGAATTAGTACGAATTAGCCACTTTTTAATCACTCGTACGAATTCGTATGAATTGGTCGTGAGATAAGGTAGGAAAAACACAAAAAGCATCAGTTTTAGTTTCTGCTCTGACAGCCGCAAAACCCCGGCGAATGCTGCGAGTGCATGTTAGAAATCAGGAATGGTGAGAGAACATTCTGCTTGGTACGTTTTTCCCCCTCAAACCAAACTTGGCTCTTCAAACAAAAAAGTACAAATCCTGGCCGTCTGGCTAGCACACTTCTCATAATGATAATGTTTACTGATTAGGTCAGTCCAAAATGCATCTTAATACCAGGTGTAAACAGAGCCCCTCTCTCTCTCTCTCTCTCTCTCTCTCTCTCTCTCTCTCTCTCTCTCTCTCTCTCTCTCTCTCTCTCTCTCTCGATCCAGCGATAGGCTAATTCATCCATACAAATGTTATAATTCATAAAAATGAATGTAACCATGCTACTTTATCTCTGTCTCTGATTTAAAGAGGACAGAATGCTAGATCTAACGAATGAAAATTGTAACCCTTCCAGTCAAATTTAGCACTGCAAACATCAATGACAGATTTTAACCTGTCAATGCTGGCAAAAGTCCATGGCATAAGCGGGATAAGCCACAGCTATAGCTGTATTGTTGAATGCAATCTTATATTATTATATTATATTATTATATATCCATCCAACCAACCATTTATCCACTTGTCCATAATACATAATTTTGCATATTTTAATGTGTCATTCTCACTGAGTCATCTAATTTCAACAGCTTAATAATTGGTTAATTATCACGATTCACGAATAATTGCTTTTGAGAGACATGGGGGTGGGGTCGAGAGAAAATATCAAGAGGTGCCTGTGGAGAAATCACTGTGTAAAAAGGAAACAAAATTAACAGAAAGGAAACTACAGAGGCACAGACAAAACTAAAGACCTGCAGAGAGAGATGCAGACAGAAACACACAGAGAAAAGCCACTGTGTGACCAAAAGTGATTAAGACTGCATGTTTTCCCAGTGATAAGCTTCTATTTTTTTTTTTTCAGAGTACACTTCAAATGGAGAGCGGGGAGATTAATTTCCTCAGGAGAAGATGCATCGCATCCTCCAATCCCCCAGCGTTCAATAGACCAACGCCACTTTTGCGTTATCGAAGGGTAACGCCCCCTTTTGGGGGAAAACACCTCTATACTGTCTATGGGAAAACAAACGGATTCCCATGAGAACAGAACTCGCACTAGATCTGCAAAGTTTCTTGATAGCAAAAATGGCACAAACTTAAAGAAGCTAACGTTACTGAATACGGGGTTACAGAGGTGTCCCTTTGAAATGGTCGAAAACTGGATTAATGACCCCACACAGCGGCCAAATATGGACTATTCAGACATCTAACGATACCACTATCTCGTGGAATCGCCAAGTAAGTAGCCTTTTTTTTTCATTAACACACAATATGACAAACTAGACGATGAATGGATCATATTTAACTTGATTTAAGCTATTGACATAGTCTAATAAGGTAACGTTAGCTGCTAACAGCTAGTCTTTCTAATAGCTAGTCGACAACAAAACTGTCAATAGCGTAAATCAAGTTAAATATGATCCAAGTGACATGGCCTCATCGTCTAGTAGTTTGTCATAGGCTACTGTGAGTGTGTAAATGATAAATAAATAAATAAAAAAGGCTACTTACTTGGTGATTCCACGAGATAGTGGTATCGTTAGATGTCTGAATAGTCATATTTGGCCGCTGTGTGGGGTCATTAATCCAGTTTTCGACCATTTCAAAGGGACACCTCTGTAACCCCGTATTCAGTAACGTTAGCTTCTTTAAGTTTGTGCCATTTTTGCTATCAAGAAACTTTGCAGATCTAGTGCAAGTTCTGTTCTCATGGAAATCCGTATGTTTTCCCATAGACAGTATAGAGGTGTTTTCCCCCAAAAGGGGGCGTTACCCTTCGATGACGCAAAAGTGGCGTTGGTCTATTGCAATAATTATCCAAAATGGCGCTGCTACTTATGCCTGCCTCACATTTGCATAGCTCAGAGCCGTTTATGTTTGGCATTGTATGTGTTTTAATTTTCTCCTCTCCACAGTTTGATGATGGAAAAAAGGGACTGAGAGAGCACTTGACCTTTTGACTTTGCAGCGAACATAAGGATGGCACAGGGGAGGCTTAGAAATGCTGTTTTTGATGTAATACATAAAATATCTGCAAAAATAGAAGACAATGCTCATTAATATATATATATATATATATATATATATATATATATATATATATATATATATATATATACACTCTACACTATTAAAAAGTAAAATCTTAAAGGGTTCTGCCATTTAATGAATTTAGTTTTAATTATTTTTTTTATTATTTTAATAAAATTGTATGAATTAAACAGTTAGTAAACATGCTTTATCATAAAAAATGAAACAACTCATGACACATGAAAGTATTCTGCAATCATTTAAGACATTTCTCCTTAGACATTTTTGGCATGAGATCTTTAAAACTGAGTCTAGAACATTTAATTTCCCTAATTTCTTAATTGAACCCTCTTTTTCCTAAGATTGCATATAGGGCTGCAAAACTTAGCCTAGAAAAATCACAAGAGCACATTCTATTCTATTCTATTCTATTCTATTCTATTCTATTCTATTCTATGATCTGGAACAGGTCATAACACAATAAATTAGCCATTTTAGGCAGACCAGACCATCATTTTTTTTCTTAGCAGAGTAAATTAGCTAAAAGAGCTACAAGTGCTCTGCACATATGTCTTGCCATATGATAGCATCCCATATGAAAAGACAATTTCTATGAGTTTTGCTTTTAGTGAATCCTGTTGTTGTGCAAAGAACCTGATATAGGGTACTAAAGCCACATATACTGTAACAGTCCAGAAAGAACAGCAGATGGACACACAACACTGTACAACTGGACATGTCCTTATAGAGCTGATACTTTCTGAGTCTCATCAACCAGATTATGTCAGAGCACCAGAGTGTGGCATACACTTCCCAGACCCACACTCATCAGATGGCCGTGGGAAAACACATTTTAGCTTTTTTTTTCCCCCCTTCACACTAGAGGCTACAATTAGTGGCAGAATAGTAAGTTCTGGTTACACATCTAGTACATCAAGTATAAAACAAGTGACATATTATGCAAACAAACAAGTCCCAGTACATACTTCATTATAGCTATATTGCATATACTGTGCAAATATCAGCTTACCACAAGGAATATCAAAGCAAATGTATTTGGCTGTGTATTTACTCATCTGCAACGGACCAGCTCTCTCATATGGTCAGACCATGTGCAGAAAGTAAAACATCTGCAGTGATGTATACTATAGCCTAACGGTAAACCTTAATCACCAAATATATATTTACAATTTGCACTCAATTTGCGAAGACATCAAATTTGGAGGTCATCTTAAAATTGACTTCATTTTTGATCAAATTCCTCTTTATTGCGGTAAAAAACGAGTAAGAGCAGAACCCATGAAAAAAATTGACTGCTGTGCACGTGCATTATATAAACCCAACCCCCTCGGTTCATTCGTGGGATTTATCATGTCATCAGCAGAATATGTCATTTAGCCTTATGAGGAGTAGGCTAATTTACCTGTTTAAAAATGACACGGTTCAAAACTTAAAAATGTAAGATGTAAGATGTAAGATGTAAGATGTAAAATAAATGTCCAAATGGATTGAGGGTCCTATATGAATATGGCTGTGGCACATATAGACCCATTAAAAAATGACTACAACATATGAATGATGGTTTAAAAAAGAAAAGAAAAGAAAACGACAATAAAAATGACTTTCTCCCCTACACATGCCTGCACAAACTGAGAAAAGTAAAGGAAAGAGAGTTTGAGAAAGGTGAGAGGAAAAACGCGTGCTTTGTGCACACTTACCCATTCCAGAACGCGGATGAATCCCAGAGGTAATTTAAGAACTTGGAATGTCCCAAGTGACACAATCTGTAGTAATAACAATGAACATGGTCAATAACGTCATTTGATGCAGTTTGATTAGGCACATTTCAGTCGGCTACATTTTAAACATTTCTCGTGATTTTCAGTATGATATTGACAAATGCACAAATATTAACATATTTCCTACCTGGTTAGCGGTATCCATTTTCTTGTTGGAGAGAAAAGCGCTTGTAAGTAGGATAGGTCGAGACCAAAACAACGCTTTATGAGTGATGTGCCAGAGTCGCGAGCGCAGAGCAGGGAATCGGCTGTAAACGCGCCTCCATACGGAAAGTGCCGAGTGACTTCGGCATTAATCGTTTCTCGAAACGAAAAGAGCCGAGAGTTGGTTTTAATTATTCCTCCACAACAAAAAAGCAAGGTAACTACCCTCGTCATAATAAATCTCTCCCATAACAGGGCAAGAGCCCAGTGTCTTCGGCAAAAAGTGCTCCTCTTTACGGAAAGACCCGAGTGCGTTCGACATTGAGAGACGCTCTGGAGCTCCATGGAGACGCGGGTTGGATTTAACAAAATGAACAGTGGCTATAGCCTAATGTTTTTCTCTATTGGACGATGTTATCAAATTACAATTTATTTGCTCCATAAAGTGTTATTTTGTCAGTCCAAAATGCGTTTGCTGACTGCATCAGATATTGATAGAATATTTCTGTGCTATTGTAAGTTACATTTTTCCTCTCAAACTCAGCAGATAGCATTGACAAGATAAACCGATTCTCTAATTGTCTAGCATGACTATTACATTTGGTTTCATTCATTTTACCATTCAGCATATTGTAGGCGAAATTCTATGTCCAGTGACATTTTCTTAAAGCTCATTCAAGTGTGTGGAAACAGTACAGATTCCAACACAGCTACATTACATAATCAGGATCTCCTTTAACTTGACCAAGTAGGTCATTCAGGCAAAGCATCAAGATAATAACATGAAAATATGCATGGAGATGGTATGCATTTATATAGAAGCATAGTTTGAGTTTGCTTGCATTTACCCATTTTTTTTTTGTTGAGAATTTAAAGCGCAACTCTTATTAAATATGTTAATAAGAGTTAACATTTTTAATAAGAGAAATTACAAGAGAAAAATGTGTCTTTTATTATTTTTTGAAGTGCAACATTTACTAAAAATGTCAGTGTACTCTAAATGTAGGCTATCCATTCATTAATTAATTCATGGTGTATTCCCTATTTGTCACCATGTATGTACAAAGATATACAGCTGGAATCAAGTCATCGATGGCTTTTTTGTTTGTTTTGCTGACACACACACACACAGCTTAAGGGACCTAAAGCAGTCACAGAGAATGATGGAAAAAAGACTTCAGGAAGTGTGAGTGTCAGAATGAAGCCTACAGGGACATGAGCCCCATAGAGCTTTTTTATTTTCTATTAGGCACTGTTCATTTAAAGTTCACTGTGTATTAGTGGGTATTAGATCTGTGTTTGCCTGCAAGTCCAAGGTCAAGTCTACCCCGATCACTGTTGTTTCACTTAAAAGAGCCCAAACACGCACACACCTGATGCCATCTCAGTTGGAACTCTCACAAAGGACTCTCAGAATCAGCAAATGTGAAATGTCTCAGAACTATGGTATTGTTTTTTTGTATGTAAACGTTTTGGTGATACTAAAAATATTCCACACTCTAAAAAATGCTGGGTTGTTTTAACCCAATTTTAGGTCAAAAATGGACAAACTCAAACATTGAGTTAAAAATGTAATTTAAAAAAATGTAACCCAATGGCTGGGTTTGTCCATATTTGACCCAAAATTTGGTTAAAACAACCCAGCATTATTTAGAGCGCATGCATCACACAGACAGGGTTCCACACTCATCTCACCCTGAGACAGCACAACACCTGGGTTCAGATCGCTTTAGGGAAAAATGGAGGGCAATTGGACTTGCAATATAAAATACATTATTCAGCAAGGTATTTTTAAATACTTTTATTCAGCAAAAGGATGTGTTAAATTTCTCAAAAGGCACAGTAAAGACATTTATGATGCTACAAAAGATTTCAAATCGCCTAAATGCTGTTCTTTGGAGCTAACTGAAAAGTGCCAGAAAAAGGTGCTGGCAAAAAACATAGGCAAGTAGACAGCAATCACACAATATAACTAATTTACAGCAATGCATGATTACATTATTAAGCTTAATAAATAATTAACAGGATAATATTATAAACATGCCAACTATCTGAATGCCTCTTTATGCAGAGGATCCAGCCATTATAGGAATATTTTCAGTTATTGTCACCGTCCTAACGGGACGCTTCGCTTGGGCTTTAAACGACACCAGGCGATGGCTAAGGATCTTATCTAGGACCCTTCGAGTCATGACTTGAAAAAAGATTTGTTCATTTTGATGAACGAGTTTGAACAGGAGAGTCACGAACACTCATCACAGAACAGAGCAAGGCATGTATTTGTGCTTGTAAAACTTAAACTTTTTTTATTTATTTTTGAAATGGCCAATCGTTTCGCTTGATAAGACCCTTATTCATCGTCTGGAATCGTTTAAAGCCATTTGAACAGTTTGCAGTTTGCGCTCAAACTCTCATTTGGACCTTGAACCGTTTGGTTCCCATTGAAGTGCATTATATGGAGAAAAATCCTGGAATGTTTTCATCAAAAACCTAAATTTCTTTTCGACTGAAGAAAGAAAGACATGGACATCTTGGATGACATGATGGTGAGTAAATTATCAGCAAAAGTTTTTTTTTAAAAGTGAACTACTCCTTTAATGCCTTTTTTGTCATATTTTAGTAAATCACCATAAATTAGGTGTCATTCAAAAGCTTATTACCCTTATCCTGTGAAAACCATTTTGAAATTGGATGTTGCTTTACCATAGAAACAGTGCTCTAAATTATTTTAGTGGGCTCCTCCCCTTGTGGGCGGTGTCATGTTTCATCTCACAAAATTTATTTACTTGATAATCAAGACCTTTTCTAATCTTGACAAAATACATATCATTGGAAAGGCCTGTGTCTCAAGGTTCCATATTTTGTGATAGAAGTGATACTTGAGTGATACCCACTGTCTATTTTTGGTATTATGCCTGAACACATAATTATAGGACCTTTTGTGATATCAACTACATTTGGAACACAACTAGGATAGAAATATGGCTTTGATTTTATAGTAATTTTATAGTTTAAAAAAAGGCTTTCACTGTAATTTTCACAATAATCTGCTGAGTATCTTCTTTAATGCTGCATTCCGTAACTTTTTGGGGTTAAAAATCATCCAAAATATTTTTTTGAGCAAGTACACAACAGTCAGCGTTCAAAATCTGCTTTCCTTAGCTCGATTCAAAGCGGTAAGCTTGTAATAATGTTTTTAAGTCCAGTGGTGGATTTCCGCGGGAGATTCGAGCATGTCTTTGCGTCATTACGTCACATCTGTACACATACAGAAGAGTCTTGGCTAGTAGGACATATTGACTGTGAGGCTGTTGGAGGTGGAGATTTATAGGCTTTTCTCACAGCACTTGATATAATTAAACTTAGCAATTTGATGGCGGACCCAGAAAAGTTCAAACGACAATCACCAGAGACAGCAGATTCACTCGGAGATTCACCTGTTGAAAAATGCAAAAGACTTTGCAAAATGACAGTATCGACACCGGCGCGGTGACTGACAGCCTCACACTCTCCTCAAACATTGTGTTCATCCGCGCTGTGCCGTGCCGAGGCACAACCCACGTAAAGTTGATAATTTCATGAATAACTGAAATTGCAGATTTCGAGCAGAGATGGCGACAAAGAGGAAAAACTAGGAACTGCAGCTTTAAAACAAGACCACCGTCTATTCTCTCGAGGGGGTACCTAAATGGTAATTTAATTAATAGCAACAGCACATACTGCATATTCACAATCATTTCAAGCACTTGTTATGTACTATACAATACGTAAATGATGTTACATAACACCCTTTTACTATGCTGCAATGCCGCCTCAGGTTTAGCAGTAATATTTGAATGTGTGGTGGCATGGTGCCACTCGTCACTCCTGATTTCACTGCCTGGGAAGAGGCTAGATGTGGCATGACTGGCATCTGTAGTAAAGCGCTGCACAAGCGCAGACACAAGCCACAGGAATCCACACGCATGATGGAGCGACCTGGGAAACAATCAACATCATTCTGTTTCACACCGCTGCTCATTCGCCAAGGAATCATGGCAGTGGCCAAGTCACTTAACCTGCACTGAGAGTCTGAGAGGCACAGCGCAGCTCTCAGAACAATTACGACATGGCTGGATCTCTTCCTCCAGTTGTGCCAACAGTTGCCACACTGAATAAGCCTGCAGTATATCCGGTTCAGTCCGCATCCAGATGCAGCGCACTTCTGAGCGGATGAATGGGAAGACAAGGAAAATCCATAAAGTGAGGATGTAGTTTGGTTCTTTCCATGCTGGTTGAGTCACATGCTTAAATGTATATGCAAATGAAATCATAACCATATAGGAACATTACTATGCTTGTCTACTTTTAAGTGGAGGAAGCAAACTCTTGTCGATGATGCCAGTAAAAAAGCTATAGCAACATTAAGGTCATGGGTTCAATTCCCAGGAAACACTATAGTCTACTGATAAAAATGTATACTTTGATGTAAGTTTATGTATATTTACAGTAGTGGCAGTCATGTCTGGCCTAAGAAAATTGATTTATTAGGGTCAATTGTTTTATTTGGGATAATGCAATGAAACATTTGGCCAGGCTGTCATTCAAAGAAATTATAATAAACACATGCAAAAACAAGACAAAAACAATGTAATCTTAAAACCTGGTTATATTCTAGTCAATGCAGTGCACACTTTTAACTTTTAGTTTTTGTTTTTGTATTATTATTATTATTATTATTATTGCTAAATAAAACCTGTAGCTGTAGTTTACTCTTTCTTGCCAAATGAATTTTGTCAGATAAATACCTTAACCTATTTATAGTGTTTTGTTCTTCCCTCATGTTTAAAATATGTTCCAATTGTTTGTTCCATATACTGTTGTTCTAATTGTAACAATTACACTTGTTCCAAAGCATAACACAGTAATATACTTATAACAGAGTCCCAATAAAAGTATTTTCACAAAATCTTTATTAATTTACAGAACCGTTATTAAACCAAAAGGACATTTTAGATACAGCAGCCACTTTTTTAGTCACAGTTGAGAGACTTTTTTTGGGGGAGAGACCTTTCTCTTTCGTTCTTTCTTTCTTTCTTTCTTTCTTTCTTTTGCATATTTGGCTTTTTTGTTTTTGCTTGTATACATTTGATATTCCTTTCTTTCTTTCACAGTTTTTTTGCTTGTACATTTTATCTTTCTTTCTTTCACCCTCTTTTTGCTTGTACATTTGATCTTTCTTTCTTTTCTTCTTCTCCATTTCTGTCTGCCTTTCTTATTTTCGTTATTTTCCATATTTGCCCTATTTGTTAAAAAAATTATCTAAAATAATCTTTTACTGCATATTTGCATTTTGCTCTCTTGCTTGTACATTTGACCTTTCTTTTGTATATTTGCCCGCCTTTGCTTTTGCTGTTCATTTAGTGTTGAATAAGAATTTATGACCAGATATGTTACTAAAAAACGATAAAAAAAAATTCAAAAAGTATGCAAATATTGTATCTGGAGAACTGAGATGGAGCAATTTATAGGACTGAATGAACCTTTCGTGTAGAGCTGCAGTATTGAACCTTTAGGCTGTTTCTGAATGAGCACTTCCTCTTTTGAATTTCAGATATTTTTGACAACCATCTATATTATAAGAGTGCAAACCTTTAATGTTTGATTTTCACACCACGCTGCTGAACCAATCACCATGCTCATACCAAAACACAAAAGTGAGATACGCTTAAACGGGCCTATAAAAGACAAAACGTGCTATTCTGGAATTGTTCGGTGTAAATGCATTATCCCTCCTCTTATTCTGCTGCACCACTAATCTGGCGGAAATAATCAGGATTAAAATTTGCATTCGGGGGTGAAATGAGCACAAATGAGAGAAACCAAATATAATGAGCAGACGCACAGACACAATTAATGTAGCTGCCGCTACGATTTGCTCTTCTTTGTTAACAGACTTCGTAAAAAAATGAACAAATGCAACTGACTGTTGTTCATGTGCGTGTCTACATAATGCGTGCTGTCTATCATGATGCAGCATCACGAGAGACGGGCACGCGCTCGCAGATGATATTTGAAAAATTGCAAATATCAGACAGGTGTGACACAGACAATCATCGTCGGCCATCCCGAGCTGGAGTGTTACAATACCTTCTCCCTGTTATCAGTGGTCAGCAGACCGTTTTGGAGGGCGTCCGGAACATTTGAATCCATGACAACACGTTTAGCAAATAGGTTGCTTAGCAACTAATCCAAAGAGAGCAGAGCGGCCTATCAGTAGTGACAGCGTTATAGCCAATTAACAGATACTTGCTCTGAATATGCTTTCCTACATGGCATTTGCTCTCTGATCTACAATGCTGAGGTAAATTATGTCTGACATGCATTAGATGACAAAAGTAAGCTTTGTTTTATTACCTACGCAAGCTGGCACCAGCAGCTTTCACATTTTCTGGATTCGGTGTGTAGCATAACTGAATTAATGATGATATTATGGCCTAATATGCCATGCAGGTGAGGTGTAGGCCTACTGATTGCATGTTGACATAAAAAGCTATTATTATAACAACAAATTACAAAATACATTTATTTGAGATTACTTACACTGAGGGGGAAAAAGAGTTGCTGCCTTAATCTTTTAAGTTGACCAGTCAACTTGGTTTAGTAATTTCAACTTAAATTCACTGACTTTAATCTTTAAAGTCAGTGAATTTAAGTTGACTTTAATTTATGTTAAAAGTGACGGAAAAAAACTTATTTTGATTAGTTTAAGCATTGTGAAAACATGTCATAATTTATTGATCATATTTTTTCACAGTGTGATTGTCGTAAAAGACAATTTAATTTAATGTGAGAGTAACAGATATATCTGGTGTATGCACGTTTCTGATTTTATTATGGTGTGTGTGTGTGATTCTAACTAGATTTACTGATGTAAAGTTGATCCTTCTTGCACTCTTTAAAACGATCAATAGATGGCTCTCTTTCATTACTAAAATATGAACAAAAACATCCCCAGCATTCATAAAGAATTGTTTCTTTTTATGCAAATGATTTGAATCAGATGGATTATTATAATTAAACACCATAGAATTATAGGTTTTCTTAAAAAAAAAAACATACTGTAAACTGATACTTTTATTCAACAAAGATCCATTAAAGTGATCAAAAGTGACATTAAAGACATTTATAATATTACAAAAGATTTTTTTCAAATTAATTCTCTTGTATCATGGTTTTCACAAAAATATTAAGCAGCTGGTTTCAATGCTGATGATAATAATACACGTTTCTTCCATACAAATTTCCATTCCATACAAAAATCAGCATTTTTGTATGGAATGGCTGCTGAAATTTCTATTTTGGCATCATAAGAAATAATATAAAAAAGAAACGTTATTTATATTTTGATTTTTCACAATATTCATTTTGTACTGTATTTTTGATCAAGTAAATGCAGTTTTGGTGACTGAACATCAGATACTTCTTTCAGAAACATTTTTAAAAATAATCTCACCGACCAAAATGTTTTATCGGTAATGCACAATTTTAGAATAGTTATTATTTGAGTCTAATGTCTTGTTTCTTGTACACATGCTTATTCACTTACACAATTCAACCTTGTCTAAATACAATGAATGTGACTATTTCGGTCTGTGGACAAAATTGCATTATACAAAATATGCTGCACAAAGTTAAATGAACAAACTCACCTAAACTCTGCTGTCCTGCTTAATAAACAAACTAAAAACTCAACAATACATTGCAATGACAGTAGCAGCTTCGGCATTCCAACTAGAATGTGCTTTAAAAAGTACATTTTACATAATTGTGCAAGAATAAAACATTACACAGCTAAACAAATCCATCTTCTGATAACTTGTTCAAATTAACTGGAATTTGTAAATATGGGCCTTTCTATTAAGTCAAAACAACACGCAGAGCAAATCAACCCATAACTGTTATCATTCTGGAAGTCACATTTCTTCCTTTGGCATTCCATTCCTTTTCTGCTATGACAGCAATGAAGGAAGATGGCAGTCCAAAAGGGAACACTGTTTTTACCCAATTAAAAACTGGGACAGAATCCAGACATACTGGCACCAACATGGCCAACAGGGCTTTTGGTAAATATTCTGTTTCCATTTACAAAACCATGGTTTTTCAACCCCAAAACCATTAGGCTCCTTTACTTTTTCAAAAGCACACCCTAACATGAAATGACGAGACATGTTAAATGTTAAGATAGTAGTTCAATCTATATTTATTATTATATTCTAACTTTTTGTCATTCAAAATATCACTTTTGTAAAATAAACAAAAAAGCAACAGAAACGCTAAAAACTTCAAGGCAAAATGTATCATTCATACTACCATTAAAGAATATTTACACAATAGAATAGATGCTATTTAAGTGTAATTATCATCACGTCATATTAACATAGTCTTATTGGTTAAAAAAAAAGAGGTAGGGTCAACTGCTTTCCATGATCGAACACCAAGATGATGACAATAATCAGTGTACACACCGTTATTTAACCCACTGCACATCTCATTCAGCATCAGCATACAGATGACTAAAGCTTGACAGCAAAAAACATAAGGCAACAGAAAAAAGCAACCACTGAACATCCTTCTTATGTGAGTCACATGAGTGCATAGGGAAGGATGAGCGTGATGAACAATATTAAAGGGATAGGTTCACCCAAAAATGAAGTCATCATTTACTCACTCAAGTTGTATGAATTTCTTCTGCTAAACACAAAAAGAAGATATTTTGAAGAATGTAGGTGTCTGAATGGTTGGTCCCCATTGGCTTCCATAGTCTGAAAAAGAAAATCCTATAGAAGTCAATGGGGACCATCAACTGTTTGTTTACCGACACTCTTCAAAATATCATGTTGTGTTCAGCAGAAGACAGAAATTGATACAGTTTTGGAACAAACACGAGAGTGAGTAAACGATGCCAGAATTTTCATTTTTGGGTGAACTGTCCCTTTAAAGTGTGAAAAATGATGTGAGGAAAAGACAAAGCAAGAATGAGTGACTGGCATTGAGGTCCGAGTGGTTTTTAAGGCACCATCAGCAGCTGTATGGAGACAGAACACTTTGAAGTGTTCGTATGATGTATTCCGTGCATCTCAGATGGAAGTCTAAAACCAACTCCACATAAATCACATTAAAAGTATCATCAGGAAAACGTTTGATTCTTGAGTGTAATCATAATATCAGGATCAATTTAACATCCTATCAAACTCCAGAGAAGACACTTCTTCATTTCTACAAAAAAAAAAAAATGTATATATATATATATTATTCTGAAATGTGAAGAAGCAACTTTAAGGGAGTTATCTAGGCTAACAGCAAGAAGACATAAAGCTGATGGCCAATCTTCAAGTCTGTATCTATATGTTGAACACAACATGTGGAATTGTAAAATAAAAATGCTTCTTTGCTATCTTGGCATTATGGGCATCTTCAAAAATAATTAAAAGAACAACCCAAATCCTTTAAAAGTTAAACAGATGTTGATTTTTAAATAGAATTTTAGTATTTTCAGTGTACGTCCCGTCAGAAACCAGAATCATGTGCTGGTACAGAAGCCAAGATGCAATCATTAGATCACCTCAAATGAAATTTCCTTCATTTATCAATATACTCCCAGGCGATCCTTTAACAACATTACAATCAACCGAATGCAAACCCTGCCGTCAGTATGCTGCTAAAACATATTCATGCTAGAAATGTAAAAAAAAAAAATGTGTCCAACAAATCCAAAGCTTAAGGGTTGCAAAACAAGTCTAAAAGTCAGATGTGATATGTAATTGTATAGTGTTTTGGCAGCACTGTGTTCTGCTATACTCATGTATTGATGGAATAGGTCAGTGTGGTTGGTCTGAGAGCGGCAGTGTTGAGAACAGTGTGCATTTTTGTGTTTCTTAATGCACGCCATTCATTATGTGCTTCTGGTGGATGTCCAGAGTAGTGTCGTCCTCTTTGTTGTGCTGGGGAGGGCTCACGTCATCCTCCCAAAGCTGAGCAGCTTTACGGATCTCATCCAGAGTGTACTCCTGCAGGATGGTCCCGTTTTCAAACACTGTCACCAACATGTCCTACAAAAAGATGACCATATATGAATAAGGATAACTAAATTAGGGGAATATCACCATATATGTGATTTTGCATTTATCATTTCACATCCACAACATTTGAATAAAGTTAAATGTTTCTTCAGCAGCAAATCAGCATATTAGAATGATATCTGAAGGATCGTGTGACACTGAAGACTGGAGCAATGATGCTGAAACCTTCCGGTCTTTCTAGAATCCAACACGGAAGTGACTTAAACTGCCATTCATTGACTGGCTCCAAAAGAGAGTCAAACCCTTAGACCCTAGTCTAGAGTGTTTTAACAAGAACTGGAGTATTCTACGTCAGAAAAATAAATAAATATGACTCAACAATATTTATACAAGATTTAGCCATTTAAACTTGTGTTAATTATTCAGTTTGGGTAAAACTATATGTTTTATAAATAAATAAAACTAGCAAACTAGTCCGAATATAAGCTTTTCGTTTAGTTTATGTAATAGCCTACACAGACAGGTAGCCTACATGCCCAAATCAAACCAGAGTGTACTTTTTTTTGTAAACATATCAAAGTATGACTGAAAAGAAAATATCAGAGCTGTTTTCTTGGTTGTTTTTCTTGTTTACCACTTACATAAATTAAATACGCCATTAAACAATTAAATACATTTATGTTGTTTATAAATAACAATAAATTGTTGTTGTATCAGCAAGATTTCCAAGTTTGGTTTTTCACTGTAGAAATGTCAAATGTCATGAGTGACGGCCAGCTCCGCCCCTTTTGAAACCTTCAGAAACCTACGGGTGATGTCACGGACACTTTGTCCATAATTTTTTTATGGAATAGCTATTTTTTCAAGTAGAAATAGCTCTTTTAGGTACCAAATGGAGGTTGCCCCTTTTTACAGTGTATACAGCTTATCGAACCTCCTCTGGTTTTCCCGCTCCTTTTTCCACTGTCTCAATGAAGCCATCTGAGTTTCTCCTCAGACAGAGACGTCCACGCTTGGATCCTTTAGATGGGTCCGTGACTGGCTGCTTATAGACGTCCATCTACGCGAACACAAATGACATGATAGTAAAAAACAAACAAAACAAACAAACTCACATTTATTTTCTGACAGGATGTTTTGAAAGTAAAACAACAACTCACGCCTTTGCCATTGGCCTCCACATAGCTGCACTTGAAAGCGCAGTTGAGTGTGTCTCTGTTGATTTTCTGCACTAGAGCACTTCCACAACCGAAGAACACATTTTCAGCACTCCAGCCCTCATCGGTCAGTTTCTGCAGAATCTGCACTGGCCAAAATAAACAGTAATTATGATCAGAGAACGTGTAATCGGTAATAATATTTATAATCTAGCAGTCATAAATGGTTAATAAGCATTCAGAGCCAGTATCACATTTTCCCCTGGACACACTATTCCACACACCTAAAGGTAGGGTTGGCAATTTGTTTTATACACATTTTTTGTTATACTGGTTTAAACTCTCTTCACATCCTGATATCATTAAAACGTGTACATATCTGTGGAAGTCTCGAAGACCAAAACATTATTTTGCAAAATAACAGTTCTAACAATAGCCACAGCTAAACTGCAAAATCTGCAGCTTTGAACGAATCATGAGAGTCAACGATTCAATGACTCGTTCATAACTAAATACAGCCACTTGCTTCGTTACTGAATGAATGAATGACTCGATGACTCACTCTGTTTGGTCACTTCTCTGCTTGGATCCTAATGAATGAACTGGGCTAATCTAAATGCTATCAAAGTTTCACAGCAAGACGAGAGAGGTATTTATCAACTCATCTTAGTTAAGGGAATAACCGTTTAATATGAAAAAACGGTGGGGTATCCATTTAATGGAAAAGGTGTGACTGCAGTCTAAGTGTAAGAGAGGGGGTATGCAGAAGGGTGTCAAAAGTCTCAAGGGGTACTCCACTCTAGAAAGTTTGGGAACAGCTTTTTAGTCATAAGCGCACATCTAGAATGAGGTCCAAAATGGCATTTTTGCAAAACGTCAGAAATTTCATTTCTCTTTGAGAAGGATCAAATGAGCATCTTGTGCTTCAATGAAAGTAAGAATATCTTCCCATCTGTATGAAGGAGCTCGCTCACATGATCAATATAACAAATTAGATTTTTTCATTAAGGACTTCTAGATTTCAGAGTTTTGCACATCACTGTAAATCACACCGGACCATCTCTTATGCTCAGCAAGACTGCATTCATTTAATGAAAAAATACAGTCAAATACAGTTATACTATGAAATATTTTTACAATTTGCAATAACCGTTTTCTGTGTTAATATATTTGATCCTTCTATAATATATTTATGATCCTTCAGAAATCATTCTAATAGGCTGATTTGGTTAAATGTTGTTCTTCCATAAATAGAAAGTTTAAAAGAATATAATTTATTTGAAATAGAAATCATTTATAAAATGTCTTTACTGTCACTTTCAAGCACTTTAATGCATCCTTGCTGAATAAAAGCATTAAAAAAATTCTTACTGACTCCAAACTTTTGAATGGTAGTGCATAGTAATTTCGCTCTTGGTCTGAGGTTTAGTTTACCTCATTAATCGAGTTCAGATCAATTCCATCCCCCTGGATAATGCGCAAGTATGATGGGAGCACCTTGTAACCCACTGAGTTCAGAGAACATCCAAAACACTCCCCCAAAATCTTTATCACCTAAAAGTGAGAGAGAAGAGAAAAATTAGAATGGAAGAAAGTAGGAATTCAAGAATGCAGCTAATCAATTTAAACTCGAGCAACACACTAATCTGAAAGCAATGCTATGCCACAGTACAAGCAAATAAAATCGAAATCTTAAAGGAGTAGTTCACTTTTAAAAAAACTTTTGCTGATAATTTACTCACCCCCATGTCATCCAAGATATCCATGTCATTCTTTCTTCAGTCGAAAAGAAATTAAGGTTTTTGATGAAAACATTCCAGGATTTTTCTCCATATAATGAACTTCAATGGGAACCAAACGGTTCAAGGTCCAAAAGACAGTTTCAGTGCAAACTGCAAATTGCTCAAAGGGCTTTAAACAATTTCAGACGATGAATAAGGTTCTTATCAATCGAAACGATCGCTCATTTAAAAAAAAAATAATAACAAAGTTTAAGTTTTATAAGCTCAAATGGTCACCTTGCTTTGTTCTGTGAGGCGCGTTCGTGACTCTCCAGTTTGAACTCGTTCATCAAAATGAACGAATCTTTTTTCATGTCATTTGGTTCATTCAACGAACGAAATGAACAAGTTGACTCGGAAAAAAGATTTGTTAATTTCAATGAACGAGTTCGAATAGGAGAGTCCCGAACGCGCATCACACCCTAACCCTAACCCCAACAGAGCATTTCAGCTTACAAAACTTAAACTTAGTTTTTTTTTTTTTAAATGAGTGATCGTTTCGTTTGATAAGACCCTTATTCATCGTCTGAAACCATTTAAAGCCCTTTGAACAGTTTGTACTGAAACTGTCTTTTGGACCTTGAACCGTTTGGTTCCTATTGAAGTCCATTATATGGAGAAAAATCCTGGAATATTTTTCAATCAAAAACCTTTTCTTTTCGACTGAAGAAAGAATGACATGGACATCTTTGATGACATGGGGGTGAGTAAATTATCAGCAAAAGTTTTTTTAAAGTGAACTACTCCTTTAAGGCATTTCTTTCAGACAGGCGTCAAAGCAACATAATTTAAAGTCACAATGCAGCACAGTGCTAGAAAAAGCTTCAAGCAAAGCAATTTGTCTGAGTCTTTATTTCCCTAAAATAAAGCTCAATCATTGAAACAGCTGCTTTATGGTCTGTATCGAACACTCCTACAGTTCCAACACACTTGGTACATGATACACACACCTCAATGAGGGTTTCAGCGGGGTCCCCGGAGTCTGGGCGAATGATAAGGGGAGAATCCTCACTCCTCTCCATCACTCTCTCTTTCAGCTTGTCCCCCCAGATATGCTTACAAGCCTTAAAAATGTCATAACTGTCGCTAACCACAGCTACAGGCCCAGAGGGAAAGTGGTCCAGCAGACACTCATATGCGTCCTTCTCTCGGCTCTTGCCCCAGGAGATGATGGTACTACAGAGACCGGAAAAACAAAGTGAGACAAACCTTCGTCAAATGATTTGAAACACTTATAAACAAAGTGCTTTATTTAGTTTGAAGGTAAGCAAAAGGGTACGGCTAAAATAAATGAGTTTTGCCAGACAAAGAATTAGATAGAATCATTTGCAGCTTATGAGTCATTCGTGTCTAATGATCCTTAGTCACAGAGCTATAAAAATCCCTGAGCGATTCAAGGAACCTTCCGGTTGACTGATAAATGGAATGTTGTGATGGTTGCAAAATTTAAATGTGAACTTGGAATGAAGTCACAGAAGAAGTCGTGTGATTTAAAGGACAGAGTGAGAGCTCTACTGAGAAATCAACATCAGAGACAAAAGGGACTACAGCTGTGAGATGGATGAATGCGTAGCTACTAATAGAACAAATTAGAATCAACGGAACAAATGCAAATTAACACACAGGTGTTGAACGTCAGAGTTGAATTTCAAGATGTTGGCTATTTCCAACCGAAGGCAGCTGTCTAACTGTCTAACTGGGAGCGCCCAGTCAGTCTTAAAGGGATAGATCAGGCAAAAGTGAAAATTCGATTGTAAACATTTCATTTTTTTCTTTCTCCTGTGGAACTCAATTCTAAAGACTGGTCAAAAATGTAAATCACAGTGAATATGGATTCAAAACTTCAAAGAGAAAGTGGTCCATAGAGCTTGTTAGCTATATCTTTTGTCTTTTGAAGTCAAGTGATAAACAGACCAAAACTTTAGTTGCTATTGACTGATATTTTGACATCTACCCTTTCAAAGCATTGCTCAGGGAACAACCACACTTTTTTGACGAGCGAAAACAAACCTCAAACGTGCTGGTTCTTGCATGTCAAGTGAACATAAGTTTCTATAAATCATAACCGATGTGTGAGTTGATGAATGTTTATATGTGAACAAAAACCTGTTCATCATATAAAGTGATCGTGTCTCTTCAGAAAATCGTGTCTCTCCATTTTATCTTTATGAAGTTTTTGAAGCGTCAAAAGAGTAGTTGCGTAGCATCAACAGAGACTAGAGAAAGCTCTCAGATTTCATCAAAAACATCTTCATTTGTGTTGTAAATATGAACAAAATTCTAATGGGTTTGGAGTAATTAATGACAGACTTTTAATTTTGGGGTGAACTATCCCTTTAAATATTTACCATATTCTGGGTAACTGTAAAGTTTTTGTCAGCGTTTCTTAAAAGAAACATCCATCTACAAAGGGGGGAGGTTAGATAATGTTAAAACAAACCCAGTTTTCCTTACAAAGCAAAGAGCAACAGTAGCAACGAAAGATTTTTGGACTAATATAAAAGTAAATTTTGTGTAAATTATTTTAAACAGATTTTTAATAAAGAAAAATTTTGGCTTTAAACATAAATGAACGGCATTATTAAAGGGTTAGTTCACCCAAAAAATGAAAATTTTGTCAGTAATTACTCACCCACATGTTGTTCCAACCCTGTAAGACTTTCGTTCATCTTCGGAACACAAATTAAAATATTTTTGATGAAATCTGAGAGCTGGATCACTCCTCCATAGGCTTCTTAAGGCAGTGTTTCCCAACCCTGTTCCTGGCGGCACACCAACACTGCGCGTATTCTTTGTCTCCCTTATCAAACACACCTGATTCAACTCGTCAGCTCATAATCAGATGGGTTAATGAGCTGATGAGTTGAATCAGGTGTGTTTGATTAGGGAGACAAAGAATACGCGCAGTGTTGGTGTGCCGCCAGGAACAGGGTTGGGAAACACTGCCTTAAGGGATCAAAACTTGCCGCCCCAAAAGTTATGAAAGACATCGTTAAAATATATATAGTCTGAGTGACTACAGTGGCTCAATCTTAAATTTATCAAGTGACGAGAATACTTTTTGTGCGCAACAAACAAACAAACAAACAAACAAACAAAAATAACGACTTTATTCAACTATACATTTCCTCCTCTGTGGGCCTCGAGATTTCACATAGTGAAACTATGCAAAGCTTCTAGGTTGCACGTCACACGTAGGCTCACTATTGGCCGATGTGTGTGATGCATGTGACATACAACACAGAAGCTTTGCGCAGTTTCACTATGTATATTTTTTTTGTTTTTTTTTGTAAAAGTATTCTCGTCGCTTGATAAAGATTGAGCCACTGTAGTCACTCAGACTATATATATTTTAACAATGTCTTTCAGATTTCATCAAAAATATCTTAATTTGTATTCCGGTCTTACGGGGTTGGAACAACATGAGGGCGAGTAATTACTGACAGAATTTTACATTTTGGATGAACTAACCCTTTAATTACCTAAATTATAACAGTCTTGAACCAATGTTATTTTAGTATTATTAATACTATTGTAGTATTTATTACAATTTTGAATAGCTTTTACAGTTTCAGATTTCATTTTTTATTCAGTAATTTTGTCATTTTATATTACTATACAGCTTTATATTTTTATTTCAGTTTAAGTTCTAGCAATTTTAATTTGATTATTTATATATTATTTTATTTAAGCTTTATAATGACTTATGTCTTAGTAGAAATTGAATCTGAATCATGTTATAAAGTTTAATAAAGTGTCATAAAGCTGACTTCTTTCAGCTTCTCAGGTTTCAGGCAGGATGTAACACAAACAAATTCGGAGATGCCTTGACAAAATAAGTGTCCAGTAAGTTCATAATGTGCATTACCTGTGCTCTGCAGCAGGGATGGAGAATCCGGCCATAGGACATGCATAGTACCGTTGTGCCATCAGCAGACCCGCAACTGTGTCTGTGCTGCAGAAATTCACCAGATGAGCAGCTCCACCAAGTGCTGCCGACTAGTTCAGTAAAGAGTGAAAGAACACAACAGAAAGAAGTCATTGAACCTGTCAATGTGACAACATTAGCCAATTCACATTATTTTGATCCTGTTTTTGTAACGGAATTATAGACAGTGGCTTTTAAGAAGCAAATAAAAAGAGAGAAGTTGACCTTTGAAGTCAATTGTGTGAAGACATTTCCTATATTCCCCTGATTTAACACTCGGGTTACTGACTGTGTCTCACTTCATTCATTGTGATAGTCAAGGGAAGGTTGATGCTCTGAAAAGTGAACACATTTGATTCCAAGCAAAATGTTTTTAGCCTCCTGAGGTGAGCATCAATATTTCTTGATCTACAACATGGTGTATATTTATATGGGAATTTGAGGCTATTTTTTTTTTTTTTTCATTAAAGAACTGAAGAGATCTGGACTTTATATATATTAACCCAGGGAAATTAGATCCGCAGCAAGGCTTTAGCCTGCAGCTTTAATTGCAGCAAGGATTTAGGAACTGCGTCATTTATTTCTCAACACATTTTCATGTAATGTCATGTATTTTTTGTCACTTTGTCAAGAGCCCCGTGCAATATGATAGATCAATGACGAATCACAGTGAATGCCAGCATTATTTTAGTATTATGTGTATACTATTAATATTTAAATTAAAAATAATAATAATTATTTCATTGTTTGTATCAGTTTAAGTTTGAGCAATATTTTTATGTGCTTTTGTCATTTTAAATAGTCAATTTATCTTTCATTTGTTTTTATATCAGTTTTTTCTGTAGTAATTTTTGTACATCGATGGCAACATTTCTCATTTAAGTTTTTTAAATGCTAGTTTTTCCATGTAATATATAATAGATTTAGTTAACAATAATCACACTGATACTAGTGCTTTTTGCGAAACTGCCCTTTGTTTTTCCCCATAAGAATACAAGTCGTGCAGATTTAGAAGGATTTGAGGGTGAGTAAATGAGGACAGATATTTCACTGTGGGTGAACTACTACTTTAAAAGCATTAAAATCTATCACTGCTTGTCCCCTGATCAGAAAAGAGTGATGGAGAGTGAGCAGGAACCCTGAGTATCAGAGGCATTAAACTCTGTTTGGCACCATTAATCTCCTTTGAAGCCATCATTAATCCAGTCAGCCACAACATAGAAAATACACTATCAATACCCCACTGTCCCTAATGAAGACTTGATAGTTTTACACAGCATGCTTTAGTCTGTTTTCAGCAGCTGAGGGAGAAATACTTCCGGCTTTCTTAGATTCCACTCTGATGTTTTTCCCTTCATCCTGTTCCTTAAAATCTTTCTTGAAATCGTTTTAACACTTACTTTACCTACAAAGCCCTGTAATACATACATTTTTTATAATCGCCAGGGATCAAAAAGGCTTAAATAGACACAATAGCAATATAACACTGACAGAGTTAAATGAGAAATGTTCCATAAACCCAGATATAACACCATTGACCAGATGTCCGTTTTTTTTCATTGGACAGGCATTACCCAACACATGAAATTCACTATTGATCATTACTGAAGTGGCTCAACATAAATGACAAGGTTTGGCAGGGAGAGTGGAGAAAAAAAAAAAAACAGAAACAAATTAAACCATCAAGAATAAATTAAAATGAAAATAAAATTGAGAAAAATTTTTTTTTTTTTAGTGCAGTTGTATTATATTTTTCAATGGGATTACAAAGGTTGCAAGTAATCTCTGTGAAATCTCTGTGAAACCTTGATTTTTTTTTAGCAAAATTAAACGGTTAAATTAATTCATAAAATGTATATATATATATATATATATATATATATATATTAATCAAATCAAACATTTTCAGTACAGTGGTATTATATTTGCTATGGGGTTTCAAATGTTAGAAGAGAACTGAGAAACCTTGATTCTAAAAAAATAAAAAATAAAATAAATATATGTAAATATATATATATATATATATATAATTAAATCATAAAATGAAGTAATAAATCAAATAATTTTTTTAATATAAATCTTTTCAGTACAGTCATATTACAGTGGTATTAAATTCGCTATGTGGTTACGAAGGATGAAAGTTCAAATCTCTGAAAAGCCTTGATTTTTTTTAAAGTAAAAAAAAATAAAAATAAATAAATTATATTTGCTATTGGCCTACAAAGGTTGTAAGTTCAAATCCTAGAGAAACCTTGATTATTTTTTAACAAAGGTAAAGTGTCATGAACAAGTTTGAATCTAGCAAGGACAGGTATACTTATGCCCCTGACCATCACTTTATTTGTGCCTTGAATAAAGAATTGGTTTAAGTTCATTAATAAGATAAAATATTAAAATCCAGCCTGTTATGTGACCTAAACCTTTAATCATATTTTCAATTGGAATGGAAAATGCACCTTTTCTAATCGGTCACCATCTCCAGTTTTAGATGATGGCATACTGGTCTGGAAAGGGCACCACAGAGAGGTTATGTCACACCTCATTAGAATATAGTAGCCTCACCTTCATACACAGTCACACACAAAGGTCTCCTACACTCACCTCCAGCACGCCCAGCCAGTCTCACTAACAAACTCACTGCTTATAGTCACCCAACACCTGAACCTGCCACTGTGTGATATAGATGAAACCTGGCAGAGTTGACCTTTACACAACAGACGGACCGATTCAAGAGTCAAACAGTCACCTTGACTCACACAACTCTTCAAACAGCACCACCCGACGACCCAAAACCCATCAGCGTGACAACCTCACTCAAACACAGCCAGCAATCAGGGCTCCTACCTTTTGAAATCCACAGAAAAGGAGAGCGGTCTGCATCGTGTGCGTATCGAAAGGCCAGGTCTGATCTCTTTTTGATTAAATGGAATGGTCTTGTCTCATAATGAATTGATTTTCTGCTTTCACCAAGTGATATCTGATTTCATTTGCCCCAGAAGACCAGGCTTCCTTAAAAAGCACTGACGAGAGAAAGACCCCATTCGGCGTGAGCTTTGATTTCAGGGCTAAAAAAAAGAATACAGGCAGAGATTTTAACACTGGAGGCACTTCCTGTTTGACTTTAAAGATACTTCAGTGCTTTGTAGGGTCTTCTTTAAAGTGTGCTGTGAATGCCTACAGAAATACGGGCGAAATAATGTCATGTAATCAGTGATAGTCCTTTTTTAGTTTTTTTTATATAGTCACTTGTAGTCATAAATACATAAAAGATTGTGTTTTGGGGGTCGGCGGAGGCCCAATCCCTTGCATTTTTTCCTAATAATGGTGAAAAGAACTTAAAATACTAACTAAACAACACTGTCCTGAACAGGAAGTGGAATTATTGACCCACGTCTATGTACCTCTTGTGAAGACACTCCTCTGTAGCCGAAATCATGCAGCTTGAGGTCCAGACCCTCCAGGCTCCCTGACGTGGCCTTGAGGTGCTTGGCCAGAATCTTTTTGAACTCCCTGGAGATTGTTGCCACGGTGATGGGATACCACATTTGGACCAGCATCGTCTGTAGGGACAGAGTGTACACACGATCACATGTGCGTCGGAGAACACCAAAGATGGCTCGTAATTGCACTCAATTTTTATGGCCCTGAAACCATCATGACCATTTAAATCACGACTCATTGATCTGTGGCTCCTTAGGAACTGAAAAAGATTATGTTTGGATCTATGTGTTTTTTCTGGTCTTGACATCAATACATAAACTGGAATTATTGAAAAGCTGACAGAACGCGATTTCGGACGCACCTACAGTGTTCCTGTACCTCAAACAGTAGAGCATGGAGCTTTCAACGCCAAAGTGATGGGTTTAAACCGTTTGCGAAAAAAGCATATGCCAAATGCAAGAACCTTCAAAGGTTTAATTCTATATTAGGGAAATTAACTAGTAAAATAATGTTCATCATGGACTGTGTGCATCTTGAGACCTGAGATGTGTCTTCATAATGATAATAGAAACAGCAGTCCAGGTCAGAACCTAATGAACTCATGCCCTCACTGACCCCACCAGCCTGTCCAAACCCCCCTCGGTTATTCTGTCCAGAATCAGCGGCTAGGAGCATGCTGGAAATCAAAGCCTGCTGTCATCCTGAACAACAGAATGGCAGAATCATCCAATATGAAGTAAAGTGCCACACCAACAGGTTGATGGACTATGCTGACAGTGAGACATTCATGGGGGATTTGTGTTGCAGTTAAGATTGTTGTAGCAAAACAATCTTTTGCTTCAAATAGGACCTCTTTGAGTCTTACCAGCTTCCAGAGAAGATCAGGTGTGCTCCTAAAGGAGTCACATTCAAATCCAGATTTAAAACGGTTCTGTTTAGCTATGCATTTACTGAATGAGCACTGTGCCACTGTTCGTCCGACTGTTTGTACAGTACTTTATTTTATTTTTTGTTCTAAACTTTTTTAATTTTTCTTATTTGTTTTGATTGTTTTAAAGTAAAGCACTTTGAATTATAATTGTGTACGAAATGTGCTATATAAAAAAAACTTGCCTTGCTTTAAATTCATTCATTTTGGTAACACTTTACTTGAAGGGGTGTGCATATACATCATAACCTGTCAGTGTCTTTGTCATGACAACTTGACATTACTTAGACAACACAACCTGTCATAAACATGACATAGCAGATTAATTGACCTAGCTTTATTGGTTAACATTACATTAAACGGTCATGTGGTTGGTTTTGACTTATAACTTTTTAATGACAAATTCAATTAATGCCACTGTAGTTGAGGTCACGAAAAACATGTCTTGTCATGGTTATGAAGGTGTCATGTCAGTCTTATGAACACCCCTTCAAGTAAAGTGTTACCCTTATTTTAGCTTGTGTAGTGTCTCAAACATACAAACATGAAAATATGTAAGGATCATGTGACATTGATACTTCCTTGAGGGGATCCTTTGTTTAGGGAATCTGATTAAATGTTTGTTTTTTTGCCCTTAGATTACAATACCATTTAAAAGGTTTTTGACAGAGAGAAAGATGTTTTTGGAAAAAAAAGTCTAATGCTCAACAAGGCACATTTCTTAGATCAAAAATACAGTAAAACAGTATATTATTGTGAAATATTACCGTTTAAAAGAACTGTTTTCTAATATAATATATATTTAGAATGTCATTTATTCAGGTGATGGTAAAGCAGAATTTTCAGAAGCCATTACTCCAGTATCACATGATCCTTCAATAAATAAAAATTCTTACCATCATAAATGTTGACATTTTTTTTCCCTGCTTAAAATTTTTTGTGAAAACTTTGACATTTTAATCAGGGATTCTACATCATTTATTTAAAATACTGTATGTAAAATGTCTTTACTGTCACTATTGCAGAATCATTATTGACAGTACTGATTTAAAAGTGTAGATGTTTGATAATATATATATATATATATATATATATATATATATATATATAGTATATAGGGAATATATAGTATATAGGGAATGACTTCTTGTATACTATTTGCCTTTACCTTATCTGCATTGGCTACCTTATAATATAAAAACAAAACAAAAATCAAGACGAAAGAAGACAGGTAATACCTCAATAAAATTGGTGAGCCAGAAGAAATCTGGATCCGTGTTCTCCACAGTGAAAAGAACGTTCCCCCTGGGGACGATCTTTCCCTCGGGAACTGCTTTGATACGGATTGGAAGGCGGCCATCATATTTCTGACAACACAATTAGGAACAGAAAGAAGGCAGGTGGTTGTTATGTGCATTCATCTCCGGAACAAAGTAAGCAGACTTCAAAGTCATGTAATAGTGAAATATCTAAAAAGAAACTTTTGAGTTTTATATGAACTTCTATTTGTACCTCTAAAACTTTTCTCCATCCCTCTTCATCGAACACTGACTGTTTAAAGTGCATCTGATAAAAGACTTTCGCCTCCTGAATCTTTTCCTCTGTGACAACTTGACCTGCAAGATATTTAGACAAGTACATGAGTTCAGAGATTCTAGGATGAGCACACATGAACAATAGAATTGTTTTGCATTTTAAATTTCAGTGTAAAGCAAAAAAAAAAGGGAAATATAAAAACACTACAGCTATCAAGAGTCACTTTCTATGTACTGTAGTTAATTGAAAGTTTACAAGAGACATGACATCTTCCAATAAGAATGCAATAAAGTGCAATACCAGAATAATTTAAATGAAATATTCATTGTACAAAGCGTGAGTACAAATAGTGTGTCCCTGAAAAAGAAATTAAATGGTGGAGACAAACAAAATAAAAGGCTGCTGTTCACACGTTCTGTCCATGGTTGTAGTTTGAAACACACCATGAAACAAACACTTTGAATTAGCCTTATGTAACTCTAACACTTATTTGATGACAATGTAATCTGCTTATTTTTACTTACTCTAACAGGCCTGGTCTGTTCAAAAATGAAAAGGGTAAAAGAGTCAAAACGGCCCCCCCAAAAATACACTTTGAATATAAAAAGATTTTTCGAATATGCAGTGTGTAATAGAGCTGTTTGTTAATGTAAACGGTCTGCCAAGTTTTAAAAAGTTATTTTCTCCTAAAAGAAAGAATCGATAGCAATTCCAGTTTAACTTCCTGTTACATACCGATGTAACGAATTAGCATTTTCTAGCTTATGGATTTCATTGGGGGTGTGTTTATCTTCCTTCTTCACAATTTTCATTGTGGGGCAAATGATCCCTTTTAACCTTACATTTATAAACTCTTCCACCTTGGAAGAGTTTTGACTGCATGACTACTCCTTTATAACTGTCCTTGAATGTGAGCTATTACCGGTTTTGGGACAAGTTTTCCATTAGCCAAACATGTACATGAAAAAACAATTTGTTCGTGCCAATAGATGAACAAACTCAAAACAAACAGTGTGTCCAAGTGAGCCAACAATAGTGTTGTGATCACTGCAGGAGTTATACAATGATTAAATTACCTGCTAGGTATTTCTTCAGGAGATACTGGAGGCCAAAAAACACCACCTCGCTGAACTGCGTCCCTTTTTTGTGCCGACACTCGAAATAGGAGTACACCTTACTGACATTGGGAGGGTATTGCTTGTAGTGGGTAATCTGAAAAGAAGAGAGGGGTTGTGAAGATTAGAATTGTTTACACACTCACAAAATCGCCAATCCCCATTAATTATTCACTACTGTTCAAATCTTGGGGTTGGTAAGATTGGGGTTGGTAAGATGTTTTTGAAAGAAATCTTTTATGCTAATCAAGGATGTATTTATTTGATTAAAAAACAGTAAAACAGGAATATTGTGAAATATTATTACAATATAAAATATCTGTTTTCTGTTTAAAATGTAATTTACTTCTGTGATGGAAAAGCTGTATTTTCAGCATCATTACTCACTCAGAAATGACTCCTTCAGAAATTAATCTAATATGGTTATTTGCTGCACAAGAAACGTTTTTTGTTATTACCAGAGTTGAAAACAGTTTCATATTTTTATAGAACCTGTGATATATTTATTTCAGGATTATTTGACGAATAAACTATTGATGAAGTTCAACGTTTATTTGAAATAATTTTTTTTTTTTATTACAGACTGATCTCATGAAATGGCGTATGTATGACACGCCAATTCGTATTTCCATTTTTGGCGTGCTATCAACACAGATAATCGCTTTTCAGCGTGTTTATGAACGCCATTGACTTAACGTTACATTACATATGACCTACCCCAACCCTGTCCCTAAACCTACCCGTCAATATCTGGAGTTAAAATGATTAATGAGTCTTCCCCTACCATCCTAGGAAAAAAAAATATTGCTCCCCAAATGTAGATCTACATTTTGCTTCGTTTCGCTCGGACATTTAACGCCAGAGACATGCACGCATACACACGGATAGCTCAAAATGCATATAGATAACACACCACTTGAATTGAAAGTGATGCAAAAGTCACGATGTCATGTTGTTTATTACATTATAAACTGCCACTTTTGAGAAACCTAATGTCCACTTGCTGTAAAAAATTATAATTACTTTAAAACAAAAAATGACCCCAACCCAAATATTTGAACGGTAGCATGCTTCACTATGACATTGAAAAATTTAGTCCCATTACATCTGAAATGCACACCTGCATCGCTTCCACAGTCTTGTGAATCTGTTAACTTCAAGCTGTGTGCATGGATCTCTCTGCATTTCATCAAAGTCTTGTTTACTGTACACTGATACTGTCATGCTACAGCTGGGATGGGTTGAAACAGTGTCTTGTTTATAGCAAAAACCTGCCATTTTATCCTGGACACAAATGTAATACTTAAAAAGCTGCTGGCCTCCATTGCACTGCGGCATAATAAGCATAAAACACGTGGCAAATACTTTCTTGATCCCCATAATGGAATTTGGGGATTGTACAATACTGCATTGTACAATTCTCTTGTTGAATGTAAATGTGATAATTGTGTGAGTGCTGGCTGTTCCACATCTAACTAAATCTGCTGAGCTTTCCAAGGAACTCTGAGTGGACCTGAACATCAGCCCAAACCCGACTGACTACTCAAGCTCAGATGAATGGATTGCGCCACTTGAGGAATGTTGAGAGGGTGACATGAAAATGGGTGGGTATCAAACTCATTCAATTAATTTGAAATCAAAAGAGTAAAATCAAAAAAGAATATACATTTGATCAATACATACATAATATTGTTGGGTGAGATTTAAACATGGATTTAGATGGGATTTGCGGCACAGCCACAAGATTACACAGCCTTAGCCATTCAGCATTGGCGATGCTGTAGAATTACAGAGGTGGAATTTCAAAAATCCAAAACTGCCGTAAAAACCATTAAAACCTGGCATTATGTAATACAACATGTATAGATTTATTTTTTTCTGTAGAATACTTTTCATACAACTTTAAATATAATCAGTACAACTTTATAGTAAGGTCTTATTTGTTAACATTAGTTAATGCATTACCTAAAATGAACTAATAATTAGCAATATATCCATACAGCATTTATTAACCTTGACAATATTAGTTAATAAAAATGTTCATGTTAGTTATATGCATTAACTCTAGCATACAACATATATGATCTAAAAAATGTAGTAAATGTTGAGATTAACATAATAAATGCTGTAGAAGTATTTTTCCTTGTTAGTTCATGTTAACAAATGAAATGTTATTGTAAAATGTTACCATATAATCTAAAAATAGAGAAAAAAATCTAAACAAAGTCTAATCCAATCACATAGAAATATGTATTAAGCCATTTAATCCTACATGAAATGCATACAAATTTTCTTTTGAGTTTGAAGAACCTACTGAACGTTGTTGATGAATTTTAGTTAACAACTATAAATGAAAGTGCTGAGTGTACTGTTTTTATGTCAATTTTTTGCCCGGCTGTCGTTAATAGCCTCATGACCAGTTTAGCCTCATGACCATGTTCAATTTCACTTTGTCCCTTGTTGTAAGTCTGCGTGGAAGGTCCAGATAAGGAATCATGTAGACATGTCATAACAGATACAAAAAGACACAACTACTATACTTGAACTAGTATGATTTGATTTGACAGGCTACTTTTACTAAAACAATTTTGTTTTATTATCTTTGGGTACTCTAACAGTTTTATACAACATAATAAAACACTTAAAGAAAAATAGCGTGGTTAAATTAACTATGTTTTAAAAAAAATGAGTTTCGATTCTTTGACTGCTGCGTGACGTCACCCGCTGTGGCCTTTGGCGAAGCTGAAACAGCACGAGGTCATTGCGCATTAGCCACGCCCCCTTGCTCAGCGCTCAATGAGTGGGGCATTTAAAACGAACCTGAGCTAACACAACACCCTTCAACAAAACAAGAAGAAATATCCCGATTTTTACACATCTGTAGGTTAATCTGAACCACGTTTTCATTTAGACTTCATAGATTCACAAGGTCAAAGTTGTTGTTTTTTTTTACCGCACATAACGACTGCAGCAGCACAAAGATCCACTGTCAGAATCGGCTAACTTAAGTACTGTAATGCGCCTTTGTGTTTCTGTTGTCGAATGACTGAAGCTAACGTTAGGAGATTCTTACCTTATAAGAATCCGTCGCAAGTAAAAAATTGAAATCCTGAGCTGCCATCATCGAGGACAAAGTAAAAGCGAACTGGTTTCGCTCCGGTATGTTGCCTATGTGGTCCGAGCCGTGTGCCACTATTCTCAATAACCTTCTTTTCAATGCCTTTCGGGTTTCCGAGAGAAAATGTGGTGAAATACGATCACCTCGGAATCTTGTATATGTGAGGACTCGCACGTATAGGTCGCATAGTCCAATATCAGACACAACGGGGTGGAAAAGGGGCGGAGTCAGAATAGACGTATGAAAGCTACGCTGGCTCGCGCTCGGTGATGTAAGAGTGGGCGGAGTCATAACATCAGAAAGCGGAAAACGCCCCTGTTCGCTGAAAAGCTTTTGTTGCCTGTTGCGTTCAAAGGCTAAAGTTTCGCTTTCTTGGAAAGGGTAGACTAAAACTGAATGTAGCACTTTCAGTTTTGCTATCTCTGCTGAAAAAAACAAAACAAAACCTATAAGCTTAAACCAACATAAGCATTTGCATGTTTTATCTTGGTCTTTCTTCAGAGAGGTGTTTGGCACTTTGGGCAGGTTAGCCTATTAATGATATACATTATTAAATAATAATAAAAAAATACGTTTACATTTTATTATATTGTTAGGTGAGATTTCGACATAGATCCAGGTGGGATTTGCATATGGCGGTTATGTGAAGGGTCAATGACGTGACCAACAGACCTTTTTAAAAATGTAATCAACATGAATTGTTGGCAGTATTAAACTGGCTAATCTGCTTCTGGAAAACTGCCATATCTAATCTCTTTTCATATCTCAAAAGCTTTTAAAAACAAGCCCACTTTTATTGTAAGACAATAGTGATTAACATTCAAAAAGATGCAATTAAGCTGAGAGTCACTCAGATAATTTGTTGACATTCAATACAGAACCTTAGATCAAATCAAATATTATAAATATTTTAATCATCTAAAGTTCAGGAATGACGTCAATTTTAAGGCCAACCCAATGCTCGGAAATGGGTTTAATTTGTGAGTGATGTGAACATTACTACAATAAATTACAATAATATCTCCAACATATTTAAGCTGCTGGGATTTGGTACTATATGTTTAAAAAACTAAGTGCACGCAAGTTGCCACTAGGACTACAATGGTTGAATGGTAAACACACATCATTGCGGTAGTTGTAGTCTTTATGTAGCAGCTAGCTTTAAAAATACACTGTTGAGTTATAGTTAAAAAAGATAACTTTAATGTACGCTATTTTTAAATTAAAAAATGCTATTCTAAAAACACTGACATTTTTATTTTCATTTTGGACTTGAAGTAAAAAAATTTGAAGTAAAATCACAGTTATGACCTGCAGTGATAAGTTCATTGCATTTTCACTAGTTTTAATGTAAAGGTCCCCTGACATGAAATTTTCACTTTCTGAGGTTTTATAACATTAATGTGAGTTCCCCTAGCCTGGTCCCCCAGTGGCTAGAAATTTAAATAGGCCTAGTGGAAACTGAGCTTTGGCTATCTTTCTCTGCCTTTGAGAAAATGAAAGTTCATGGGCTGATCTTGAATCTCCGTATGACGTCATACAGAGGAATAGTAACCTCCCCATTTCTCTGCTTTGCCCGCCCAGAGAATTTTGGCTCGCTCATGAGAAAATGAGCTTGGAAGTATGAACACGTGAGCACGATTTGAGTTTTTCCTCGAGAGATATCATGGTTTGGAAACGAGTGAAGTATTGATCAGAGTTCAGATGTACAAATGAACACAAAAGTATTTTTTAGTTCCTTCATCCTAGCCTCTGAAGAAACATTGAGTTAATTTAATTTTCTCTGGAAAAGTGCTGACACAACTTCCCAAAGTTTTGTATGGTCCAAACATTTCCCCAACAACTGTTTCCTCAACTTGGGCCAATACAGAGCTGGCCTCGATGAACGTCTGAAAATAACCATACCGAGCAACAATTTCTGAGCCTAATTGTTCAAGTTCAGACAGGTAATATTTCTCTCAAAATCATTCAATACTTTTTATGCATAAGTCAAGCCAGTGACTAAAATATCAACGTCACACCATTTCTTTTAGTAGGATGAAAACAATCTTATTAAAATTGTGAACAAATTATACAGTAAGTGATCAAAAATGTATTTTCCACACAGCGGTGACGCACGTTACACGTTTGTATAAGCTCTTACTGAATGTAGGCTACATCACATCAACGTGTTGGCATTAGTGAAAGCATTAGTGAGAGTGCAGAACCTGTGTTGTAATGACGTGATAATTAATTCAGGTGATCAACAGATTGTCATCTGCTTACTCAATGCTCATAACGGCAACATGTTAGCCTATGTGATGGGATAATAGATCTAAATAGCCTACTTTAAAACTTCTCACGATTCAATACCTGTAGTAAAAGTATATTCGAGAGAGTTTCACGTGTAAAACTTGAATATTTTATATGCAAGCATGTCAGCCAATCACAGCAGTGGGCGGTTACACTAAACCCCACAGCAGACACGCCCCTTCAAAAAGAGCATTCAAATCAGAGTCTTAAATCAGGCTAGGAAAAATGCCATTTATTTCTAAATTATGACTATTTTGATCTAAAACATACTATATTATAAGGGCAACCTAGAAAACATTATATAATAATAAAATAACCCCATGTCAAATTACTGCTTAAATTAAAGTTAAATTGATGGACACAACGATAGCCCAATGACATTTTACGGTGTTACAGCTTGTTTTCATTAGCCTACCAAATATGTTGAATAATTTAACCATTGTTTTCAAAAACAACACAGCTGGATTAAGTGAAACCAAAACAAGTCGTGGATTAAGTCCTAAACTTCTGCACTCTAATAGTAGAAAAACAAACACAAAGTTGATTTTGTCTAATTTTAGGAACTGTTAATGTAATTTTGTGCGCGAGAGAAACCGCGATAGCTTCAGTCGCGGAAATCACGTCAATGACCCCCTCCCCCTCCCGCCTCAGTTCAGAACCACGGTCAGCTCTCAGCGCGCGCCGCTCATTGTGTCAGTCAGTATATTGTCAGTAGGCTACCGTACGCTACTAAATTGAAAGACTGCCGGAGGAAAGCAGAAAAACAGCAGCCGTGAATCGTTTTACGACCCTCCTCGTGTTATCTTCCATTAAACCCGTTATGGTAAACGGAGAGGTAAACGAAGAAAACACGTAAGCAGCAACAATTTAATTCGGTGGAAGACTACTGGCTGTTGGAGCAGCTTTTTCACTCGCGCTAGGGTAAGTGACACTTTTCCTGTCGCGTTTGGGTTGTAGACTGTGGAAAATGAAGCGTCTTCCGTACTTTTTCGTCCTCTGAACCGAGTTACAGAGGGGTTTTGTTACTAAAAAAGACGCCGCTCGATATCTCTCTTTTGATTTCAGTTAAGTAAGAACTTACGTTGAAATGTTGGACCCATCATCCAGCGAGGAGGAGGCGGAGGAGGTTGTAGAAGAAGAGCGCAAATTGGTGGCGGCGCCCAAGGCTGGTGGTCCTCGGGTGTCTCCAAGCAGGACCAGCGAAAGCTCTGGTGGTTTGCAGCCAAGCCGAAGCACCAATGCCCGTCCAACGAGCCCGAGCCCCTCAGTTGCGATCGATAAGGAAAAGGATGATTTGGAAAAGATGCAAAGGGAGGAAGAAGAGAGAAAGAAGAGGCTCCAGCTTTATGTCTTTGTGATGCGCTGTATTGCCTATCCGTTTAACGCGAAGCAGCCGACCGACATGGCGAGACGACAGCAAAAGGTAAGAGGGCAAAGGCGCATGCAACAGATTGCTGTTGAAATGAAGAATTGGTGAGCAGCACTTGTTCCTGCTTTAGTGCAACAATAGCCTATATGAGAGATGATTGATTCAGCCCTAAGTTAAATCAACATAAAAATGCATCAGGATATTAATTTATTCCTGTTTTCCAACGCATTTGGACTAAACATTAGGCTATTATGATTTTCCCTCTGTTGTAAAACTAAAAATATCATGTAAAGGATATCAGCATTTACCTCAATGTCAGGAGCTTCATCGCATCTTCTCTGATACTTCTTATACCAAAAATTGCACAAAAAGTACAGTTTTTTTTTTTTTTTTAAAGTGAGGACCCCCGCAAGAGAGTGCAATGGGGTCTGTGGGAAACAAAACATTCAATATGTAAAAAAAAAAAAAGACTAAAGTAAGTAAATAAGCTAATAATAGTTTAATATTTTAACATTATTGTTAAGATTTTTTTTCACAGTATAAATTGAGTCTTCATACAAAAAGCTATTTAGGATATGGTCCCTCACACGAGGATGATAACATTTGGGGGCATCTAAAAGTTTGAAAACCTCTGCCTGAAGGTACATTAGGTTAGATAACAATACGAAGACAGTACAATACCTATAGAGGAAATGTCCCTGTGGGAAAGTGTTGCACAATACCTATAGAGGAAATGTCCCTGTGGGAAAGTGTTGCAAAGACCCCCTTTTCAATACAATCATGTCAATACAAATCATGTATACGCAACACTCTGCAGGCTGTAAATTCAAGCAGACAGACTAAGAGAGATGTTCACAAAATACTCCCACAGAAAAAAAGTTTTTTTCCACAGAAACGAGGAGCCGTGACTACCATGTTTTTCATGGTTGACACATTTTCCAATACAGCATATTGGCAGACGTTTCCAATCACTCAATGCCATGTTCTTCTGTACTTTGCTTTTAGCACATCTGTTGACTGAGTTTGCAACTTGTTAAAGAGAAAAGGGGATACAGCTTAAACGGTATGTTTTTGAGGTTTAGATTAAATGGTAGCGGCGATCGTGACGTGTTAGCTGGCAGCAGATTACTACCCAGAAAACCTTTTAGTGGGACAGTATCACACTTAAACATTCCTGTTTACTGTTGCGCTTTGGGAAAACAGCCCAAAGCATCCATAGGTAACACTTTACAATAAGGTTTTGTTTGTCAACATTAGTTAATGTATTAACTAACATGAACTAACCATGAGCAATACATTTGTTACAGTATTCATCTTTGTTAGTTAATACAAATTCAGCTGTTCATTGTTTGTTCATGTTAGCTCACAGTCCATTAACTAATGTTAACAAATACAACCTTTGATTTTAATTAGTACATGTTGAAATTAATATTAACTAAGATTAATAAATGCTGTAGAAGTATTGTTAATTCTTAGTTCATGTTAACTAAGGTAGTTAACTAATGAGCCTTATTGTAAAGTGATACCGATATAGGCTTTGCTCCTTGGAATG